CCCTTGGTTGGAGAAGGTTCTGGTCCCTTCCTGTGCTTCCTGCACTGCCAGCACCTGCACCGTGGCCCAGAGGGACAGCTGCCAGCGCAGGGTCCCTGTGTCCCATGTCGCCTACTCCCCTTGGCTGGGGAAACAGTCCTGGCACCCCCTCCTGCATTCTGCGTGGAAATTATCATTCAGAGTTTGTATCACAAGGCTGCATACTTTTCTATCTCAATGGAGTTGACGGTTTCGCCTCTATTTTCAGCTTTACTTTAAAAAGTGTTTGCTCACTTTTTCCTGGAGATTGCACATGATTAAAATGAATTTCCCATCTCAACGGGAATAAGAGGGCTGAACCTGGTCTTGGTTACAATTACGCGGGATGAGCCATGTCCTGCGCCCTGGAAACCAGCTGGGGCGACTCTCTGGGGCAGCTGCTGGGCACCCAGCCCACAGTATGGCCACGCTGGAAGCAGCCTGATTGTCTGTTTTCCCTTTGAGTGTCATTGTGGAGAAATAAAAGGGCAAGGGAATGGAAGTCATGACTCAGGGCTCCCCACTTACCCTTTTGAATCTTCATGACAAGACCTCAAAGTGGGGTTTACTGTCTCCATTTTACAGGTGAGAAAACTGAGGCCCAGAGAGGGCAACTGGCTTGACGCCTGTCAGGAAAATAGTGAGTGGCAGACCTAGGATTGGACTGCTCTTCCTCCCCTGCACAAAACCCCTCAGAATGAGCCCAGCGTCCAGGCGGAGATGATGCTCCTTCCCGGGCACTGATGGGCCCTCACCACTGGGCCCAGAAGCTGGTGGCATCTTCTCGAAAGGCCCCGCAGTAATTCCTACTCATCTTCCTGGTGTCCCTGGCCCTGTCACAGCCCTGATGGCCCTGAGGGTAGGACTGGGTGTGGTCTTCTGTGGTTCTTTGTTCCAACCCTGCCCCCTCCCAGCAGGTTTCAGGGGCCAGTACAGTGAGCCGCAGCAGATGAATCCATTTCTGCCTGTCAGATGCCAAACCAGGATGTCTTTCCTTTGCACCTGCTGGAAAGATCCTGTCCCCCTGGCTTCCTCCACCCTTATCCTGACTCGCCCTGGAAAATCCAGATACCGTGTTGGCCTTGAGCCACCTGCTGTCAGCTGGGGGAAGCGTCCCGTCCAGCAGTGCGACCTTGCAGGCAATGCTGCCCCCTGGCGGCGCCTCTCCACACTGTGTCTCTCGGCCTGTGGCCCCCAAACGGGGAGGGGCGGGGGCCGCCTGACTGATCCTATGAGTCCCACAAAGCTATGGTGTTGCTCAAGGCCTGAACTTAATGATTTTTCTAATTTTACAATGAATATAGGTGCATTCCAGAAAATCCCAGACCCAGAAAACTGTAAATAAAGATTACTTGTAAACCCAGAGGCACCAACTGTTAACCTTTTTAGTCTATATCCTGCTAATATGCTTTTTATATATATCAGCACATTTATTATTGGAAAAATGAGATTATCACCTGCATAGGTTTTAAAAGATAGCATTTACTATGTCCTGACTTTAGAAGCGGAAGGAAATCTGGGAAATTAGAAAAGCATAAGAAGAAAATTTAAAAATTATGTATAATCCCACCACCCAGAGATTGTCTTTCTTCTCAATTTAGTTTGTATTTGTGAAAATCAGCTGTTATTTATCCACCTATCTTTCTATCTTGAAAGATTGACTTCACAGCTGGGTACCTGGCGGTTTCTCTGGAAATATCCTCTAACCCCCCCATCCTTTCACCTTCCCCAGGTGGCTCCCATGGGAGCAGCCAGGCCTTCCGTGAACCTGGGTGTGTTCCTCTGTGGGATTAATTCTTAGACGTGGAAATGCTGAAGGGGCGTGTGCTTTTGTGAGGTTAGATAGGTACTGCCAAACTGCCTCGTAGAGGAGTCGTAGCAGTTTGCAGAGGGCCCGTTTCCCAGCAGGCTCAGCGAGAGAGTTGTCCAGCTTTGGCCCCGAGATGACACATGGCTGAGTGTGCACTGTGCTAAGCACCAGGATGAGTGCTGTCTCTCTATCAATACTCAGTGGACTCTCACAATTACCCGGAGGGAAGTAGCATTATCTTCATTTTACAGATGAGGAAGCTGAGGTTCAGAGAGCTTCCTTAGCCTGACTCAGTTCACGGGACTGAACTGAGCCCAACTCCAGCATTCATCCCAACCCAACACCCACCCGGTGGTTCTCAATATCGAATGTATCACGACCACTCGGAGGACTTGAAAAGTTGGCTGGGCCCCACCTTCAGAGTTTCTGGCTCAGTAGGTGTGGGAAGGGCCTGAGAACCTGCATTTCCTGTTCCTGAGGATGCTGTGGCTGCTGGCCTGGGGACCATACTTTGAAGACCATTGCTCTTAACTGTTGCTCTAACAGGGACCCTATCCAGACAGGGCTTCACTAACCTAGCTGTAACCTTGGCCGGGTGCTCATTTGAGCTCTGTGTGTCCTGCAAACCTTTCGTGTGTGTGTGTGTGTGTGTGTGTGTGTGTGTGTGTGTGTGTGAGTGTGAGTGAGTTGCTCTCTCATAGTCCTTTGCCTGCACCAAGTTAGGTCTATGGCAGGTGATTTTACTTCATGACTTTTCTCCGCCTTTTTAGTGGAGACGATGCACAGAGGAACCCTTGGGGGTGTTACAAGCAGTAATGTATGTGAGAAAAAAATCACACACCACTTTGAAGATCATGATGTTCTACCAAAGCTGGTTGTAGTTATTCCTGGTGCTGGAGAGGCTGGGAAGCCCAGTGGGAAGCACCTGGAGCTGGACAGGTGTGAACTCGAGACAAGTCAGCCCACTTCTCTGAGCCTCAGCTCCTTCTCTTTACAGATGGGGTATTATGGACTCCCCATCTCAAGGGTTACTCAAGCCTGATATGTATTGCCCAAGGTGCTTTTTCTGCCCCAGAAGCCCATGGGCAGGGGGATCCTCGGTGACAAAAGGTCTGGCTCTGGGACAATGGTTAAGACTTGCTTGCTCACAGGAGCTTCCCGAGATTCCCCCTCATTTCCAGCTTTGTTCCTAGGAAAATCCCATATTCCGTGTTCCTTCCACATCCTGGTAATGACCTTTCTGCAACATGAAATGGATTGTTTTCTGCAATTGGGCATTGGAAACGTGAGAACGCTTGTTCAGATTCCTGGAAAGAGCCCAGGCTGAACCCGATGGCCGCGGGGACCCTCGGCTGGAGCCAGTTGTTGTAGGTGCTGGAGATATGGCCAAGGACAAAACAGAAGTCTCTGTCCTTGTAGGCGCGTTGTTACTGTGTCCCTAATATGTCAGTGTTGAACTTGGGTGCTTTCTTGGAATTTGGTGAAGGGTAACTATGTAAATTCATAGAAAATTAGAAGTTGATCTGAAATTGACCCAGTGAAGCTCAGACCTCTGGGGACACCAGAGATGTGGCTGTGTGGCCAGGACTTCTCCAGCTGTGATGTGTCTAGGGCCCTGTCATCCTGCAGCCTCTAGCTCAGGTCTGAGGTGCATGTTTAACAAGAGTGGCTGTGGCAGGTCAAGGACCATACTTTGAATATCAAGGGTTTGAGTGATATTTTATACCAGTGATTTTCAACCGGTGTGCCTGCCACAAGAATTTTTTAAAACATGCAGCAATACCTATTTAGTCAGGGGCACTGATCTCTTTTCCCTTAAATTGTGAAACAAAAAATAAATGAAAACAGCCAACATAACAATAGCCATCTGGTTTGAATCAAAATTGCACCTGTTTTTTGTCAGGTCAGCAAAAATATAAAACATTTTTTGGTGTCTCGCAGAATTTTAGTAGTTCTTGTGCCATGAGAAGAAAAGTTGAAAATCTCTGCCTTATGTCAATCAGCACCACCAAGCGGAAGCTTATTTCTCTTCAGCTTTCAGTGAAATTCTGAAAACACGCAGGCCAAACTACTCTCACTAGAGATTCTGGTCGTGGATGTTTTTGGACAGGGCTGTTGACATTTTTGGTTTGAGCGTCAGGTCTTGGCTCCCGCTCTGGGTTTCCAGGGACCAGGAGCAGCCTGGAGAAGCCACTGGCAGCCCTGGCTTTCTCGTAGCGAGCAGACTTTCCTGAACTCTGTCTCATTTAAGCAAAACCTTGATTGTTAGGCAATTGAGAAAGATGGAGTCAAGCATCTCCATTGAGCCTTTTCAACCTGATATTTTCAGTGAGGATGTCGGTTACCTCTGGGGAAGCGGCCAGGGTTCTGAGGTCTTACCCCTGACATTGATAACACCAGCATTCTGAACCGGGTCCCGTGCCTCTAGAATGAATAAATATTTGATGGGCAACCATTTGTTAGATGTTTGCTATGTGCTGGGCAATTTGCACACTGCTGTTCAGGGATTATCTTGTTTCAGCTTTACAACAACTATGAGGCAGATTCAATAATTTTCTCCAAACAACCAAAACAAACAAAACCGAAGGTCACAAAGAAGGTCGGCAGCCCAAGTGCATATAGTGAGTGAAAAAACCAAGACTGTACAGGCCCTGACCCCTAGACCCAGGCTTTTGAATATTTTAAGTAACTTAAGTGACAAACAGAGTTAGCAAGACTTGCAGACACGGGTCCAAGAAGGTCAAGAGGCGCTATCATCATGTTTTATTAGGCCTGTTGATAGGCACTCCCCAGTCTTGGGTGACTTGGATTTTCTCTGTGAACTGCGGCAAATGCTAGTTCCACATTAGACTCTGACAGACAATGCAGAAGCAGATTTTCTGACCGCCACGTGCCACGGTGTTAGTGATGAGTGAGCAGACCCCTCGGCCCCTGCCCGTGCCCAGAATTAGCTGTGGGCCGGGCTGGGGGCCTCTGTGCGTTTGTGTTCAGAAGGTAGAAGGCCGGTGGCCACAACTAGAAATGCATTTCCTGCTAAAGGCATGATTCATGATACAAAGTCTCTCTCCACTGCGACATGCTGGTGGCACCCCGACAGTAAGTCTGGATGGAAGGAACCACCGACAGTAACGTAAAAACTGCATTACCCTTTACGTACAAATAAAAGAGAGGGTTTCCTTTCATTCTGCGTTTATTTGACGTTTCTTCCAGTTGAATCGAAACAGTACCTTGATCCCGACACTGGCAAGACGCTCGCTAACACTGAAATAAGCACCGCCCACGGGCCCCTCACCTCGGCCACTGGCACCGAGTCCCACGCGCCTCCACAAGCTTATTGCACGTCCCGTGAGCTTTTCTCCAGAAAACCCGTTTCTAAGAGGCCGGCAGAGGTCACCAATCCTGGCTCATTTGTTCCTTTTTATAAACATGATTGAACTAGACAGTAAGTCTCTCTAGAAGGCGTCAAGAGCAGTAAGCGTCCACAAGTAACGTTTACAGACACAGCTCCATGTTCGTATCCCTTTATCACAGGGCTTAGGACACGCCTTCCCTGGTGTCCAAAAATGTGAGTTCATCAACCCTCTGCCCAGCCATTACTTTTTCAACATAGGTGAGGATTCTGAGACGCAGCTCCCATGAACCGGGTGAGAATTCAATTAGCTGGGGCCTCCCCTGCTCTGGGCAATGGTTAACTGCACCCCTGAAGCACCTCATGGAGATCAGATCTACCTTGGATTTCAGGCTTTTTCCACTTTTTAAAAAGAAGCATCTATGGCAACAAAACCCACGCAAGGCCGGATTGTGTCGTGGGGGGACTTATTTTGCCTCAAAGGGGTTAGGACAGAAAATGGAAATGGGGACATTTTGGTGGCATGAAGGCAGGCTCAGGGTGGCCCTAAACTCCAGGTCCACCCATCCTTTGGGAGAAGAGAGAAATACAGACACGAGGCACACCGTTTTTCTTTATGGGGAAATTCAGCTTGGTCACATTGTCAGGAAAGGATCTGCCAACACTAGTTTCTACATTTTTTCCACTTACACGTCTCTGCGTTACAGTGGGATCGAGCGGTCTACAGGCAGCGCACACCCCCTTTGCCTACACCTTTGAATGTTGACAGTCTGGAAACACAATCTCTGTTACACAAACTATTAAATGTGAAACTACCACAGGCGATGTAAACAGTGGTCCACGGGGTCCTTATCTCCAAACAGGGCAAAATGGGACACACACCCTTCAGGTAAAATTCGTTTAGTCACCGGTTTACGTCCATATTATGTCCGCATCTTTCCAATGGATCTATAAGGGTGGTCGGAAAAGACACGTGGGGGCTGGAACTGTGCTCTCACTTCTAAACACTGTCAGGCAAACCACAATCAGCCCAGTCACACAGCACCGGTTACCCCTCCTACACACGACATCTGTACCTTTCAGCTACCTGATTACCTGACATAAATAATCAAATATCAAGTCATAAGAATGTAAAACAGAATAAATTTGAAAGTCAACCACAGACATCCACAAGCGAGGAGCACGCAGCTCTGGAGAGCAAGGGCAGCTGGCCACGCGTGTCTGTTGTGGGACTCTCGGGAGGTCTGTGGGGGAGGCTTCACCCTGCGAATCCCCTAAACTCATCTGCTTTGGGTTGCCCACCGCCCAAACCGGAGGCCAAATGCCCTTAATATTTACGCATCATTTTTTCTCGTTTAGCATCAGAGCTTTTGCATTTTCCCAAATCACTACCTAGATGGCCTTGCTTTGAAACATGAGCGGGATAAAAATTCAGTATTTTACCCAGGTTGCCTTTTCACTGACTGACAACTTCTTGAGCACGTACCGAACATCTATCTACTCTATGCCTCGCAGTGCTTTTGAAACTCGAGGCGAGGGCTGGAACGTTGTCTTTGAGAAACAATTACTGTGGAAGCTACAGGAAGGCCATTTCTGTTGACTGCCCCATGATTCGAAGGTGAGAGAGCCAACAGGCGTGGGCGCCAGCCCACCCAGGCGCTGTGCTGTCCAGAGCAGCCCGGCTCTGAGGGGCTGACGCAGGTCTTCAGGAGGTCTCCGTGGGTCTTCAGGAGGTTTCTGTGGGTCTTCAGGAGGTTTCCGTGGGTCTTCAGGAGGTTTCTGTGGGTCTTCAGGAGGTTTCCATGACTGAGAGAGCCCAGGTGGACCAGGGCTTCCTAACCGAGGCCACACCGGGTCTGTGGTGGGCGGGGGGTGGCAGGGGGTCCTTCCCTACATCATAGCCCCTTGTTGAAGTACACGTGGTGTAGCTCAGGGTGGGTCTCTTGGATCTTGGCTTGCAGCTCGGCCTCCAGGCTTGTCACGGACATGGAACTGGGGTGAGGGAGGAAGGACAGTTATTACAGGGGCAGAGGTGGGAACTGGCAGGTTCTGCTGTCTCCAGGGGGGTCTTGGCTGCCCACACCAAGGTGATAGGTTTAATTCCCTATCTAAGAACGGTGGGGTCACAGACAGAAGGGGTCGGGAGGGTGACAGGCGGCGTGCTATCAGGTGGAGGGACCTGACAAAGGTCCTTCTAGAAGAGGGGGCCTCATCCAAAGCCTAGAGCACGACAGACCTCGTCCCTGTGACCTGATGACCCAGGAGCATCAGAGGCAGAAGCCAGGCAACATTTATAGAAAATCGACAGAACGCCCCTGCTCGGGCCTTAAAGTGAGATCAGGAGGCGGCGGGAGACCTGGATTTACTTATACGAAGCTGATTCATTGCCCGTGAGTCCCGGTCTCACACGGGAAGCGGGATGCGCAGGCGGCCTGGGACGGAAGTGCACCTAAGGCTCTTAGGCTAACGAGCAGGTAGGAGGGAGGGCAGCCGAGAGCAGCCGCCGTGCTGCGTGGGACGGGCGCTGTCCCGGGGGCGGGGCCTGAGTCCTAACGTGTCTGTACCACGGATGCACGTGCCCACGGACTCGATGAACCACATCGAAGTTTTCATAAGAGCCAATCTGCACCAGAGTTAACCTCACTCTTAGGAAAGAAAAAATACTTTCAAATGGAGCGGGAGCAGGTAGAAAAGAGCTGGGTAGAGTCTGGCAGTTAAATGGACGTGCGCTCAGTTTCTGCCTCCAGCGGTTCCTTTAGAGACCTCGGCTTCCTTCATCTGCCTCAGCCTCAACCTCCCTGCCAATTAAATGGAGCAGCCCCTGTGTCTTGGGCTGGCTCTTCCAATTAAAAGTCACGATCGGTCCATGGAATAGCACATACGTACCTTTTCTGAGGAAAGAGGGCGCAGCACAGAGGCGTGGCAAACACCAAACTTAAAAAAAGAAAGAAAAATCAGAGCACGTGGACATGGCCGGCCTCTCGGGTCCCTTTCCCAGTTTACTTTTCTAGCAATCCCCTTTCTCTCTTTGGAGCCTCACACACACACACAAAATGTCCTGTTTGTATTATTTTCTTATACCAAGGGCTGCCAAAATAATTTTTTAAGAAATCAAGGAAGTAACAGGAGTTTAAACAAGAATCACGCCGACAGCCCCCAGTGGTGCAGGCTTCCCTGCACAGCTTCATCCTCGCTAATTATCGGGCCCACGCGCCCCGGGCGTTCTGGGATGGTCTCATTTCTACACGGGGTCCCAGGTTACTGACCCCGCGCCTCCCCCTTCGCATGCTGCATGTTTATCTTTAAAAAGGACGGCACTGGGCTCGCAGGGATTCTACTCACCAGAAGCCGACCAGCCCGACCTGAATGGGAGCGCTCATCCACGGGAACCTCTGTGTGGAGAAACACATCGTTCTGAATACTCTCTGTCCGGCTCTCAGGGGCCCCTTCTGCCGACTGGCTGGAAGGAAACCGCGTCGACGGTCCGGGTAGAACGTGGTTAGTGACACCCGGGGGGAACTGCAACACACATGCCAGTCCCGCCTTCCTGGAGCAGCCCCCGCCCCCGCATCTGTGAGTGAACACATGTGCAGAGACCAAGGGGCTCCCCACTTTTCCCCTCGCATACAACCCGAACGGTGCTCGGCAGGGCCCGGGCGCAGACGTCACTATGGCTCGGTCATAACGTCCCTCCCGGCTGGGAGGCAGTGCAGCCTCGCCTGCCCGCCCGCCCGCACGGTCCGTTCCCATCTGCGGGGCAAGAGCAGGCCGAGCCCAGCCCTCCCAGCTTCGTAGTCCTTGTCCGCTTTATAAAAGCGTGTGGGTGAGGGTGCACCAGGTGACATTCATGAAGCACCCAGGACAGAGCCTGGGACGGAGCAGAAGCCCCACAAACACCCTCGCTTGTCCCCTGCGTCCCTCCCATCTCGGTTCTAGCGGCTGCCAGTAAGGTTAAAGCTACGGCCGGAATCAAACATTTTGCCTGACACTTCTTTTTTTTAATGGAAATGACTGAGTTGGCCTTTTGGAGAGGGAGTTAGGTTTTTAGTTTTCAAAAGGAAGGAGTGGCACCGAAGCACACACTAAAGGGAGCGATGAGGTCAACCGAGGCCATGACAACAGCCGCGACCAAGCTGTGAACCAGCTGTTGTGACATCAGCCAACTTAGTTAGGAGTCAGCACAAGCGGTTAGAAAATCATGATCGCAGAGCGCGCGTACCCTGGTCCCCGAAGGCTCCTCGGGTGATGGAGAACGTCGCCCAGGTTAACGTGAGGGGAGAGGGGCGCGGACTAGAGAGGAAGAGAGATGTGGTCAAGGGGAGACACCCACAGAGCCCCACCCTCGAAGGACAGCAAGGGAAGGAAACACTGCATCTTGGGCGCCGGGCTCCATCTCATAGAGGATTTTCATAAGGAGATGCCAAATCCCTGTCCTCGCACGTCCCAGACAAGTGACCTCTGTGCTGGTCACAGACTTGGTGACGGGAAGGCACCCTGGGCTAACCTGCAGGCTCAGGGAACAGCTGCCTGTAACCTCCAAGGACATGCACAGAGCAAAGGCGTTGGTTTCGATGGAAAGGCTCTTGGTAATGACAAGGGTCCCGCAGAATTCAGACTTGGCCCGTGACACCCAACCTGGCTGTCGCCCCTCCTCCTGACTCCCGCTCCAGCACCCACCCTGCACGTTCACCCCTATTCTCAAATGGGACTCCAGAGGGCGTTTGAGGGCGCAGCATCCTGTGGCGGGGACCTGGAGTCTGTGGACTTCTCCTGGGGACACTCCAAGGAACGAAGGGATGCTCGAGGGCCACCGTGACACTCTTTCGCACGCTTCGTGTCAACATGTAAGACTGCTGGAGGAAGCGGCTCGGGGACTGTAATTCTTCCATGTCCCAGGGCTTCCAAGACCGACCAGGAGCGGGGGTCCCCTTTCCCTCACACAGGTTGGTGCGTCCCCAGGTAACCCCTGGGCCCAGCGGTCAGACGCGGTGCCCCCGATACCCTTCCCTCACAGCCTACACGCGTGGCTAACTTTTCTAAGAAGGTATTGCGTCGAAAGCGTGAATGAAGTTTTCACAGGTGTCTGCTTGGTTTTCCATTGGGGGCCCGTCGAGAGTGTACAGACCAATGCACACGCCTGTTAGGACATTTAGGGTTCCGGAAGCGTTTGGTCTGTGACCCGTGTCCTCCTTCCAAAGCTGTTTGCGTGTCCCCGTGATGTCACAGTTCTGTCTCTAAGACCCACGATAACCCAGCCCAGCCCACCTGCCCCTCCCGTGAGCAGCCTGACCCTGTCCTCCGGGCAGAGCTAACGGGGCCACTTTCCAAGCAGCCTGAGCCGAACGAGTCCCGTCCCACCGTCTCCTGCTTGTCGCAAGGACCGGAGCAGTGAGGTGAACGTGCAAACGACTGCATTACATCCTGGAAGCTGCATCAAGACTGCGCTGCGATTTCCTGGTTACAGCTTCGTCCTGCAACGTTTCCAGGCCTCGAGGGGAGGCAGTTGAGAGATTAGCCAATTACTAGATATGCTCTCCAAAGAAAAAGAAACTGGGGCACTAAATTCACTGTTTCACGAAGCTACCTCAAAATTACTGTTTTCATTAAAAAAAAAAAAAAAAAAAGTTTATTGGTTTCAGAGAGAGGAAGGGAGAGGGGGAGATGGAAACATCAATGATGAGAGTCATTGGTCAGCTGCCTCCTGCACGCCCCCCGCTGGGGATCGAGCCTGAAACCCGGGCACGTGCCCTGGCCAGGAATCAAACTGTGATCTCCTGGTTCATGGGTTGACGCTCAACCGCTGAGCCACGCCAACCGGGATATTTTTTTTTGTTTCCGATAGTGTGGACAGGGACTTGTGATTTCCAGATTCACACACCCTCATTGTTATTACCTAACTAAAGTGAAGTATCACTTAACTATAATCTCTCGAGAGATGCGGGCAGCCGTTTTCACTTACGGGAGCTTTCTCAACTATCTGAGACTAGAGATAAAATGTTCCTGGAAAGATCTTTTTATTTACGTAAGTGCCCAAGTGGCCCTGGCCTTCAGATTCTCTCCTCTCGATTTCTGTGGGAAAATCCTGAATGGGCTGAGGTGTGGAGAGGAACCTGAAGGACCGAGACAGTGACACACAGAGCGTCTTACCTTCAGAAATGCTTTCTTTTCCAAGGAGTTCATGATGAACGGAGGGATGGCTGGAAGAAAGGCAGGCCCACTTAAGTCTTTACTTCAGCTCACATCCCCCCCCCCAACAATTTGACAAAAGGCTTAGGTCACTTTTAGGCTATTTTCACATGGGCAGAGTAAAACTATTTGCAATAATTCTTTAAAATACTTTAGGATTGAAAAAACAAACAAAACAAAACCCATTGTTCCCATTCTCTAGATTTTTGAAAAATAATGTAATTGCTCTTTTCCAGCCAGAAAGTTCTATGATCTTGAAGAGAACTTTACATTTAACTTTAAATATGAGCAGCGCCAACATCAGGAACTCTGCCTCCTGTGCCAATAAAACACATGCAGCCCCCGGGGAGGGGGGCAGGCGTGTGGGGTAGAGATTAAGACTCCGCCTGAGGCAGGCAGGCCTCTTGCTAGCTGGACGACCCTGGGAGGGTCACCTCACTTCTCTGAGCCTCAGTTCTGCTTTTCTCACCTATAAAGGAGCCTGATTTCTTTGGTTCCCTGACGCATAAACGCTTGCTCAGTCTGTGTCTGTGGAATGAAGGAATGGATGGGTGGACGAATCACGGTCATACTAACCCATGCCAGGTACGGCCATGAGAATCCTGGAGACGACCACTTGGGCGATGGCTTGTTTCGCAGCGTGCGCTGACTCACCCAAGCGGGTCCCGTTTTCATCCATCACGGTAATGCCGACTTTGAGTTCCCTACGGAGCAAGACGCATGCCAAGCTGTGCACAGATGCCCGTGGGAAACGGCTGGAAAGATCAAGTCCCCACCTAATCCGATTGCCCACTCGGGAGTCCTTTTGGGCATGAGCAAGTCTCCTTTTGCAAACCATGAGCAAGTTTAATCCTCGCGCAAGAGGCACAGATAAGTAAAATAACCCAGCAACTTTGTACTTAAAAAAGGGGTAGCAATTTTAATGAAAATGTGACTCAAAGGGTGACTATGCTAACTTAAGAGTAAGGGTGATTTTTATGCTCATGTGCAAATTTGAGCGACTGTCCAAATGAGGGGCGGATCTAGCAGGTGGCTGTGCTGAGTGACCTCCGAGGGCCCCGGAGGAGTCGCCAGCGGGCAAATGCCTTTCTAATTCTTTTCCCTCCTTGAATTTTTGCCAGTCCTAAAAAGATACGTCCAGAGATATAGACTAATACTATCTTAAACTCCAAAAGAAAATTCTGGGGGAAAAAGACTTATTTAAAGAACAAACTTGCCTAGCCCTGGGACAACTAGACCTAAGTGTGAGGTACATGCTTTCCAACTTTTTAAAATATATCTTTATTGATTTCAGAGAGAGGAAAGGAGGGGGAGAGATAGAAACATCAATGATGAGACAGTCACTGACTGGCTGCCTCCTGCACGCCCCCGACTGGGGATCGAGCCCACAACCCAGGCATGTGCCCTGACCGGGAATTGAACCCCGATCGCTGGATCCTAGGTCGATGCTCAACTGCGGAGCCACGCCCGGCTGGGCTCCAACATTTTATTATACAGAAGTAGAAAAGGTATTCTGACCTCCTGCCCCCAGCCTGCCCCAGTCATCAGCTCAGTGGACCCCTCCCACCCCCAACTCCAGGTTATTCTAATGCAAATCCCCAATCCCATACGATTTTATCTGTACAAGTTAAAATAATTTTTAGAAGTTTCAATGAAACTAATTCTTACGAGAATCTTACTACTCCTGTCAAGCACATGCCGTTTCTGGATGTGTCTGTGTCTTACCTTTGCCTCATTAGTGGAATATTGATGCAATTAGCAGCGGCCACCGCGGCAAAGGGCACAAAGCGTCCTATGAGTGGCGACACGTGCTGCAGAAGAGAATTACGAAAGCATGACCTAACTCTCCCTGGAGTCCTGAATGGCAGTGCTCATTGCTTCTCGAAAACTGCTGAAAATGCAGAGTCCTGTTTATAGGGAAACTCAGGCCGGGAGGACTTGCACAACCTACTTCCCAGTGGTATTTTTAGATTTCTGGCTGGGTGTATGAGACGCTGTGGCAGCTTAGCGCGGTTGACGGAGAGGGGCTTCGAGGGTCTTGGGGTCAGGTGCTGGCTCGTCCCCTCCTCAGAGGTGTGGCCTGAGGCCTGCTGCCTGCACAGCCTCTGGCAGGTGAGCCTTTAGCGCTTAACTTAGCACTAAGCACAGCGTCAGGCACAGACCAGGGTCTCGGCTATGGGTGACCCCCTTCCCCAGGAAGCTGTAATTAAAACATGCGAAGAGAAGGACCGTGATAAGAAAGTCACACGGCTTCACTGTTCTGAGAAGTAAGGGGGGACTCAGAGCCAGGCATGTGGAGAAGCAGGTACAAAGCTTTCCCGTGGGGATAAAAATCCGAGCACCTTGGTCAGGGCGTTGAGTCCCAGAGCGGTCGCCACAGCGCCGGTTGTCGCAGACACGTAAGCTGTTCCCAGTTCACTGAAAAGGAAAAGAGCAGCACACATGTAACGGGGGAGTGTCAGGAAACCCTGGTCCTTTTTTAATTTAAGAAACGAAGGTGGGAAAGGGCATGATTAAGAATGGAGAGCCCACAAAACCACTTCACGATCACTGCGCAGGTGGAGAAACGCAGAGAAAAGGCAGGCAGGCCCGCACATGGGGGAGTCGGCACGCGGGCCTAACGCAGCCGAACGCGGAGACGCGTGGGGCAGGCACGAGCTGGGCGGGGAAGGGGGGTGGCACGGAGGACTCGACAAATTTGGGAAAACGCATATTGGCCTACATGTCTGTGCCACATTCGCTTAAATAAAAAAAACTTTCAAAATATTAATATACACACTGAAAGTAAAAATGCAATGCTGTTCTTCTTAAAGCGGTATCTTAGTTTATAAACATTCGAAAAGTCTCCCGTTCGAATCAGAATTAAGCCCAAGCAATTCTGTCCTGTTTAGAAATGCGTTTCAGCTCAGGGCTGGACTCACGGCAGGTGCGACAGACACTGCGGGTTGCAGAGCCCACACCCTTTGCTGTGTGTGTCCAACGGAGGTGTTGGACAGGTTATGCTGAAGTTCCGGCTAACTGGGCACTCCGGCCCGTCTGAAGCTTCCTCTCAGGGAGGCACAATTTTAAACCCATTCACTTTCTTTTTGGCTCCATCCATGACCCATGCTTAAGACCCAGCAGCTATAAAAGCCCCGTGGCCTCCGCAGAGGTCGCACTGTGGATGCCTCTGCTTATGGCATCGGCAGTCCGTCCACCTGGTCGCGGCAGGCCGGGCTCGAGCCCGCCANGGCAGGCCGGGCTCGAGCCCGCCACTGTGTTCCGCGGGGAGGGAGCCGAGGGGGGAGGACCTGTCTTCCCGCAGCGCCTCTGACAGCATCGCGGTGTCTGAGCGTCAGGCTGCAGGGGAAGGGCCGCTGCTGGAAGACACGCTCCACAGGAGACTCTTTCAGTCAGGAGAGCACCCCGCCAGGCCGACTGCGGGTGAGGCACCGGTGGCCGCGCGGAGCCTTGCTTACTTCACAGTGAGGGGCGCGTCTCCGCTCCGGTTGGTGTAGTTGACCACGGCGTTGAAGGACTGGTTGACCCACTGCCAGAACAGCACGGCCGGCGTGCTCCTGAAACAGAGCGCGCGGTCATGGCGCTGTGCAGGGCGGAGCCGCGGGCCCAGGGACCAGAGGGGAGGTGGACCGGAGACGGGAGCACGCCGGGCGACGGTTATCATTCCCGCCCCTCAGTCTCCGCACTCGGTAGGTGCAGGCGACACCGAGCCCGGAGGGTCACGGCGAGGACGGAGCTAACTTACTTCCACTTGACCTTAAACCTGCAGAGAGCCTGGCACAGAGCAGGCCTCGGTAGATGTCAGGCCCTTCTCTTGGTGGCAGGAAAGCAGGCTGAGCAGTCGGGGCCCCCCCCCCGCNCTGCACCCCCACCGCCGCCCGCGCACGCCTGCACCCATGTCACGTGAGTGCGTGGAGAGGGGAGCTCGCGGAGACTCTGGTTTTCTCCCTCTATATCATTTTCTTCTGGGTCTAAGCTTTAGGGAAAAAAGTTCAACCTCCTTTTGAACAAGAGAGAGTGAGGGGAAAGGTGCTGCTAAGCCCTGGCGCTGCCTCCGTACGGAATGGAGCTCAGCATGAAATCATTTATTTCAGTAACGTCGTCCGCATACAACAGTCTACCCTGAGCTTCTGTAACACAAGCGAACCGCTGTCCCCTTGCCACCGCTCACCTGTAAAATGTCATCATACAGCCTGTGATGGTCATGTTCATGGGCACCTGGGCCGACATCCGTCCGATCAAAACCATCTTCTCTCCGGTGTCGGGGTGGAAAGCTGAATCATAGATGTACTTCGCTCGCCACAATTCATTCTCCGTGAGACCTGCAGGGACGATGCCTTGCCTACGGAAAGGACAGCAAACACCACGGCCGTGGCTCGTTTCAGACGCCTCACCGGCGGTCGAGATCGGCAGGGAGAGAGCTTTCAGGTTTACACTTAAAACCACCGCCCTGCCCGGCCGGGTGTGGCTCAGCGGTTGAGCTTCGACCTAGGATCCAGGTGATTGGGGTTCGATTCCCAGTCAGGGCACATGCCCGGGTTGTGGGCTTGATCAGTGACTCTCTTATCACTGATGTTTCTCCCTCTCTCTTCCCCTCTCCTTTCCTCTGTCTGAAATCTATAAAGATATATTTAAAAAACAAAAAAACCCACCACCGCGACGAGTCCATTACAGTCAATGAAAACTGAGTGACGCAGAGGACAGTAAACACTTAACATGAACATTCCCAACCCGTGTCTCAAATGGTCTGTAATTTGGAAAAATCAAAACACACCTTGTACAGCAAGGAAGCAGTGAACTTCGACATGCTCATTGTTTTAAATGACATATTTAAAAATGTACTTTGAACTTTGCAAACTCTAAAGTACTTTTAACCAATTAGACAAAAGCCGGGGCAATCAAGGATAGGAATGCATTTTTATACGTGTAGTTTGAAAACCTTATTTTTATCTCCTTATCAAAGAAACACATATTCATTGCTAGAAATTTAGAAGATACGGACATTGGCTCCAGCGGCTGAAACCATCGGAGCCTCCGCCTACTCGGCACTGCTGGCGGTGGTTGGTGAGGGCACTTTCCGTCCTGTCTAAGGACATGTTTGTTCAAAGGCATCGCACCAGACCTGCTGTCTGTAACCCCCATTTTATTCAATAGCATTTTGTAAACATTTATCTACATCTTTATTATTATTATTTTTAATCCTCACTGGAGGATATTTTTTTCCATTAATTTTTCAGAGAGAGTGAAAG